TCGGGCTTAGGATGATCACATGTGGGTGTGTCTGTGACTGCGTTATCGGAGCCTGGTGGTTGTGTGATTTCGGGCTTAGGATCATCACATGTGTGTGTGTCTGTGACTGCTTTACATGTGGGTCTGTCTGTGACAGTATCGCTTGTGACTGTGTGTTGTGTGATTGCGGGCTCATGAGCAGCACAGGTGGGTGTGTGTGTGGCTGGATCGGGGTCATCGTCATTAGGTGGACAAGTGTCCGTGGCGAACTGTATGGTTTCCATACACTTCCAGGGATCAGGGTCCTGTGGTGGACATGGATCTGTGCCGTCGGAATCGGTGGGTGGATCCAAGGTCCAGGAAACAGTGGTCCCTGGAGGACCCTCGTTTGTGGTAGAAACACCCAAGATATTGGTATTCGTTTCCGCGTCCTGCAGCAAGTCATGTGCAAACTGCTCCACGAGTATCTGCAAATAGTCGTCTTTGACGTTTTGCCATGCGGTCACTTCACATTCGTTGAGCACTTGTAGATGTAGCTCGATAATCGTGCGTGTATGCACGCGTGGTGGGCGTTGTCCGCGGCGGTCTGCAATTCTATCGCGACGTCGTTCCCTAACCATCGTGTACCCGTAATCGGGTGGCGGCAGTTCGCCGCGTTGTAGATGCTGCAATATTTCTTCGTCGAGTGGCGGTGACGGCACGTCACGAACGGTTCGAAACTTTCGTCGTCGTTTGGCAAGGTGCGCAAAGTACTACAAAAACAAGGACAAGGACCATGAGGTAAATGCAGTTGTGCGCATCATCATTTAAGGGCGCTCCGTAGAAACACACACTTATGGTACATATGACGGATACGCATACACTGTGTCGCGTCGTATGGGCGTTGTGTGCATGCTTACCTTCCAAAGGGAATAACCAAGAAGGGCAACGGTGACGGCGGACAGGAAGAAGAGTACGGGAGTAGTGGCGGTAAGGACCACGGCGGTTAGGTCGGGTGCTTCCGGGCCACCATCATGCGACAGACCCTTATTTGGGCCTATACGATGAGGAACCTGTGGGGTACGTGGTCCATAATTTCCTCCTAAATCACCTTCTGCTTTGGGAGGATTTAATTCTAGGCCGAAATCAGTACCTGCACTTGTCCTTTGGGGACCAGGACTTTGTGAATTATTAGTACTCGGGACAGATGAAGGACTAGATGAAGAAGGGTTCTGTTGTCCATTAGAGTCGGGAACTCCGGAACCTGAGTCAACCGTTTTTTTAGGTTTACCCTCTGTCGTTGTATCCCACGGTTCAAACCACTTTGTCGAATCCTTCATTATGTCTCCGTTGAACATGTCACCCCCCCATGGCTCACTATCCTTGTGTGGTACTACTTCGGAGGACTCTTGAGTTCCCCCGCTCTGCGGATCTGTGGGATTACTGGACTCACCAGGGGAACCTGGAGGTTCCGGGGAGGTAACTTTTTCAGAGTCCGTTTGTGTAGTACTTGTCCCCCCTTTGTCCTCAGTAGATTGCACATGTCCATTCTGAGTATCAGGCTTAGCTGGACCATCAGGTTGTTCACTCCCAGTGGCCTGTGTATCCTGGTTGTCCACAGTAGTAACCTTGGGTTCAGTGGCATCAGCTTTACCTATACAGACAAGGAGTAAAAACAACATGCATGCAACTAAAGCTTTTTAGCGTGGATGGCCATGCTCTACCCCAGGGTTCACGGCGTGTGTTCGTCGTTTCACGGTTGACCCGTGTATTGGGACGGCGTGGCAGGTGCCACCCCGGGGAAAAGACTCTCTCTCTGTCTCCCACACACAACACACAACACAACACTCACACACAGTGTGTGTCTGTCTGTCTGCTTCGACGTCTACATCCAGCGGCCGACCCGTGCCGCGGCCGACCGATCGCGCTGCCGCCATCATTCTCATTCGACGTTTGGTTTCTCTCGCTCCGTGTTGTCTGTCCGTGTTCTCTCCGGAAATTGTTGCTTGATTTGTTTTTGTTGTTTGTTCTCTCGTCCGTGATCAAGTGTCCATGGTTGGTACCTGTGGGTACTTGGGAGGTATCAGGTACAGTTCCCTTGGATACTTCTATGATGCCCAGAACTCCATGTGCACCCCAAACACCCTTACTGGGTACGTCGTCCTGCCCCTCCTGAGGACCTCCGTGGCTTTTTTTCTCTTCGTCTAATACTCTTTCTATGCACGCGCTGACTTTGTTAACATCATGCTCATACTTGCTACAATCTTCCTCACGCTCTGGAGAGTTCTCACTGGTGCTAGGTCCCTCTATATTCTGGATTGCATTCTTACCTGCTTCTCCTGAGCTCACTTTAGATTTATCACTATCCTTATTCTGCTGTGTCCCCTGCTGCCCCGGTTGTGACTGCTGTGCTGGAGGTGGGGGTTGTTGTCCAGGTCCTGGTCCTTGACCCGGTGCGTGGCCTACTTCGCCTGATCCCCCGGGTGCTGCCGGTTTTGGTGGCACAGGCTTAGCGGCCCCTGAACCTGCAGTAAGGACGAAAGATGGTAGAAACATGATAACAAAAAAAAGGACACACAAGTGGTACAGAAAGAAGGGGGCCGGGACGGTGCGGTCAGGTAGCGGCTCGGTGGGGTCAGGTAGCGGCAGGGTAGGGTCCGGCTCGGTGCAGTGGGTCGAGGTGCACTGCGATGGACTGGGTCAGGCGGCAGCAAGCGCACGGCGAGCTGGACTCGGTGAACTGGGTCAGGCGGCAGCAAGCGAACGGTGAGGTGAACTCGGTGGACTGCGCACTCGGTGAACTGAGTGAGGCGGCAGCACGCGTACGGTGCGGTGGACTGGGTGTACTCGGTGAACGAGGCTAGATGGTAGCAGTACACTTTTATGTTGTCGCCGTACCGCCCTCGTTCGCTGCCTCGTCGCTATCGCTGCCATCGTGGTCGCCGCACACACACCTCGGCTCAACGAGGGGGTGCTGTTCCGTCGCGTGTTCGTTGTTGTGGCCGTTGCGTTGTAGCTGCTGCGTGAGTGTTGTTGTGGCGACGGCATCCATATGCGGCATTACGGTCGGTATTCGTGTTAGGCCGCAGCGGTAACGGACGTATCGTTGCCGGCCGTATTCTTGCCAGACATATTCGTGCCGTCGCCCATCGGTCTTACCTGGCGGTTCCGTTTGTGTTGCCGGCTCAGTAATCGTCGTGGCGGGTGTGGACGATTCTGTGCCGTCTACTTTGCCGGATGGTGCTGGTGTGCCGCCGGCGACAGAGTTCGATACTATGGCCTTACTTGCGTCATCCTGCGGATCGCTACCTTGGTCGTCTTCGCTAGTGTGCGTGGATACTCCATTTTCCGGCGCCGGTTGCATGAGCTGCGGCGGCACCTCCCGAACCAATACCTTGATCTCTGTCCCTAAGTGCGTGAAAACGGCTGTCTCCTCTGTCGTCGTTTGTATTTTATCATCCGTGGCATTTGCATCCTGCGGTGCCCCCGGAAGTGGTGCTAATTTTTGCGTACATGTGCTTTGTATGCGTTTCCCTTCAAATTTTTCAGTCCAGCTCTTGTTGTCTTTTAACCAGTTCTTAATCATTTCCTCCATGTCGAATTCCTGTGTTTTTATGTTTAGAAACACGCCCCGCTGGCACTTGCCCTGACTAATTAATCCAGTCGAAACTGTCTCCAGCTGTTTCATTGTCTCCCATGCATAATATACACCCATTTGACTTCTGCATGGAGATGCCAGCAATATGTACATAAATATATTTACTATGGCACACCGCACATATTCCTTCAGTTCATCATCATTAGTAACCACTGTATTCGCGCGCCCCATATTCCAACTGTTCTCATTCATAAAATATAATGCTCCTGTCATGAGTTTGCACATAAGTGTGTCTCCCACGTTAGCTACGACCGGGTTGTTTCCCTTGGGCGGATATGTGTAACCCCTGTTTGAACAATTAGCTGCATATAGCTCCACAATAGGATCGTCCAAATGTTTCATAAACTTCTTCAGTTGGTCCTCTATATCCTGCCATAAACTTCTCTGCATTGTGCATAAGGTACATATATGTGTGTGCATAATTGGCCACAGTAGCGGTCTCTGCCATATTCATATGTGCCCATTCCCTTGTACGTGCTGCACGTACTGTACCGTGCCATTGTATTATTAATATAGAATTAGTGCACGATCGGATGCGTACAATTATATATACAGGCATGTATACATACAATCATATATAGAGGCGGTTATAATTACACCGCCGTGGCAGGTCTTAATCTTAATAAATTACCGTATACTTCTCCGGTGTATTCACTAGTCCCCTATCCTTCACATACTGTACCAATATATTCGCTAACGCTGCCGCCATTGTCATGCATGATTATAACGTGGAAATCTGAATTACCCTTGAATCACTATAACGTGATACATATCCTGCAACAGTGCATCGCGCAGAAGTTGGTGTTTACGCTATAAATGCCTCCGTACCCCTGACGCATTAGCATCGGCCTAAATATAACTGTACGATCCACATGAAAAGAATGGGTATGTATGCGTTTATATAACCTATCCACACATATACAGTCCTGATACTTACACTAGGAATTGGGAGCATGGCAAGCGAAAATAATGAATAACAAGGAAAGTAAGAAGATAAATAAGAAAGAAATAAAACAAAGTAAAAAAAAAAAAAAAAAAGAAAA